CCAGATCCCCTCTCAGCCTTCTCTTGTGGAGGCTGAACAGGTTCAGGTCTCGTAGCTTCTCCTCGTAGGGTCTGCCCTGCTGCCCCCTGATCATGCGAATGGCCCTCCTCTAGACCCATTCAATGTTGTCCACATCCCTCCTGAAGTGCAGCGCCCAGAACTGGATGCAGAACTCCAACTGCGGCCTGGCCAACGTCATATACAGGGGGAGGATCACCTCCTTGGACCTGCTTGAGACGCATCTGTGAATGCATGACAAGGTGCGGTTAGCTTTACTGACTGCATCCCCACATTGGTGGCCCATGTTCATCTTGGAGTCTATAATGACTCCAAGATCCTTTTCTTCTTGTGTGCTGATGAGAAGGGAGTTCCCCAACCTGTAGTCATGCTGCTTGTTCTTTCTCCCTAGGCGCAGTACCTTGCACTTGTCAGTATTGAATTCCATCTTGTTCTCATTCACCCACCCCTGTTATCTGTCCAGATCCAATTGCAGCCTGTCCCTCCCTTCTATCATGCCCACTTCTCCCCACATCTTAGTGTCAACTGAAAATTTGAACAAGGTGCTTTTCACCCCCTCATCTAAGTCGCTGATGAAGATACTGAACAGTGCAGGCCCGAGGACTGAGCCCTATAGAACCCCACTGCCCACGTCCCTCCAGGTCAAAAATGACCTGTCCACCAGCACTCTCTGGCTGCGGCCCTCCAGCCAATTGACGACCCATCTGACTGTGTAGGTATCGACACCACAATCTCCTAATTTTTTAATGAGAATGGGGTGAGAGACAGTGTTGAAGGCCTTCCTAAAGTCCAGAATCTCATTATTCATTTGCACCAGTGTTTGGAGGAGCTTGTAACTAACTTTGCTGACTCACCTCCTTGCTTTCCCAGTCCTTGACTGTAGCACTGTTCTCATGTCAAACCTGCTGACCAACCTATACTTTGGTCTCCCCTTGTTAATTGACTGTAGTGTGGACTACAGCTCATGTTCCCCAGTCTGGCCATGCCCACAAAACAATGCAGGTATTATGCAGTGTAATTTAGTTCTCCCTTGCAGGAACCCAACTTCAGACAGGTCCCATCAGGGCAAGGAAACAGAAAACAAAATACCAAGCACTTGGCTGCAGGAAATGCTGGAATGCTGAATATATGGGGCTTTAGCTAAGAGAAATGTGCCAGGTCCAACTCTCATTGCTGCTATTTTAGGTTCTCCTCAGATACATCAGTTTGCACTAAAGTCCAACTGCTCCACAGAGGTGGTACAATCAGGAGACTCCATTGGGAGTGTGGCTGGGAATGACAAACAGGTTGAACCAGTTTGGGTGCGGTGCTATGGCTGGGACCAACAAGCAGCTCTCTGTCACTCCCAGGCACTATGACATACCACAGGAGTTTCCAAGGGGTCCAGTGCTTAGGTTGTGTTTTATCTAGGCTGTAGTAAGTATTACATGCAACTACTCAGAAAACTTTCTAGCTTGTAGTATATTTACTATGATCTAAATAAAATATGTCCTAAGTATAACATGCAGCAAGACCCCCAACCACCTACACACAGCTTAGGAGCAGGATCCATGGCTCTGACTCTCACAGACTCACACAAGGACATTGAGGAAATTCTGCTTAGCTATGCAGAGCTAGGAGTATTGAATGGTATGCTTTGGCTTACAGTAAAACTAGGGAGTTGGTAGCTTCAAAAGGAAATGAAAATGCTTTACCTCCATTATAATCATTGGAGATATTGATTTCTTCTGTCCTGGGAGATTTTTTGCTTAGCTGAGACTGAGCTGTGGCATTGGCCAATGAAGGTATCTCCCAAATGACCACTGCAAACTAGAGCAAAGAGTCCTCTGCCCAATAATAATCAGTGAAGAAGTCACCTTTTCATAGTGTCTCTCTCTCTCACCCAAAATGAGGTACCAGGTTTTTTTCCATTTGTTTTGGAATCCATCCTGGCCATGTGTTAGTGTCATCATGGTAGCTCCACGATCATTACTGTTGTAACTCCTGTGTTCTCTTCATGGAGAAAGAGAGGTGTTCTCAGGGTCTGGAAAGAATACCCAGGGGATGATTTCTCCATCCTTCCTACCAGTAATACTACAGGTCTGGACTACATAACTGGAACCTACCTGTCCCCAACGGTACCAAGTTTTACCATCTCCAGTGTGGGTTACCATATCCTTTACTGTTTCATAAAGCAAGGATTGGGCCCTCTGAGATCATTCACCATTATCACAAACATAAATTGTGTTTGAGTCCACACTCAGAGAAAGCAAAACATTTCAACATCAGTTCAACTTGCAAAGCTGGTGTACTTGGAAGCCATTTTTAGATACTGTCCTAAAACACAAAAAGTCTGACAAGTGAAAGTTGCAAGGTATGTTTCCACATTTTGACTATGAATGAAAGTGCTGATCATAAATAAGAGCATTACTAAATTTCAGCTTCAAAACTAATATTGGAATGCATTCACCTTACTGAGAGGGCAGGAACAAACCATCCTGGTGCACAGGAAGACTAGCAAGTATGGCAGAAAGCCAGCTTAGCTTAGGAGGGAACTCTTCAGTAAACTAAGTCACAAAAAGGAAGCTTATAAGAAGTGGAAACTTGGACAAATAAATAGGGGGGAATTTAAGAGCATTACTTTGGCATACAGGGATAAAGTTAAGGCCAAAGTGCAGTTGGAGTTGCAGCTAGCAAGGGATCTGAAGGGTAACAAGAAGGGTTTCTACAAGTATGTTGGTAGCCAGAGTAGGATCAGGGAAAGTGTGGGTCCCTTACTCAATGGGGGATCCAACCTTGTGACAGAGGATGCAGAAAAGGCTGAAGTGCTCAATGCCTTCTTTGCCTCAGTCTTCACAGGCAAGTTCATTTCCCAGACTACAGCACTTGGCAGCACAGTTTGGGGAGGAAGGTGAGCAGGTGTCAAAAGAACAAGTTAGTTATTATTTAGAAAAGCTGGACATGTACAAGTCCATGGGCCCGGATAGGATGCACCAAGTGTGCTGAGGGAGTTGGCTGATGAGATTGCAGAGTCACTGGCCATCATCTCTGAAAACTCATGGTGATCAGGAGGGGTCCTCGATGACTGGAAAAGGGTAAACATAGTGCCCATATTTAAGAAAGGGAAAAAGGAGGATCAAGGGAACTACAGACCAGTAAGCCTCATCTCTGTCCCTGGAAAAATCATGGAGCAGATCCTCAAGGAATCCATCTCAAAGCACTTAGAGGAGAACAAGGTGCTTAGAAACAGTCAGCAAACAGTAGATATGCTGGAGGTTAGGGCTAGGATTCAGAGTGACCTGCACAAATTGGAGGATTGGGCCAAAAGGACTCTCATGAGGTTCAACAAGGACAAGTGCAAAGTCCTGCACTTAGAACAAAGCAATCCCATGCACCAGTACAGGCTGGGGGCTGACTGGCTGGGCAGCAGCTCTACAGAAAAGGACCTGGGGGTTACAGTGGAAAACAAGCTGAATATGAGCCAACAGCATACCCTTGTTGCAAAGAAGGCTAATGGCCTACTGGGCTACATTGCCAGAAGTGTTGCTAGCAGGTCAACGGAAGTGATTTTTCCCCTCTATTCAGCACTGGTGTAGCCACATCTGGAGTACTGTGTCCAGTTTTGGGCCCCCCCACTACAGAAAGCATGTGGACCAATTGAAGAGAGTCCATTAGAGGGCAACAAAAATGGTGAGGTGGCTGGGGAACATGCCTTATGAGGACTAACTGAGGGACATGGGCTTATTTAGTCTAGAGAAGAGGAGACTGATGAGGGATTTAATAGCAGCCTTCAACTACCTAAAGGGGAGTTTGAAAGAGGAGGAAGCTAGACTGTTCTCAGTGACAGCAGATGACAGAACAAGGAACAATTGTCTGAAGTTGCAGCAAGGGAAGTTTAGGTTAGATATTAGGAAGCATTTTCTCACTAGAAGGGTAGTAAAACACTGGAACAGGTTACCCAGAGAGGTGGTGGAATCTCTATCCTTGGAGGTTTTTAAGACCTGGCAATACAAAGCTTTGGCTGGGTTGATCTAGTTGGGGATGGTCCTGCTTTGAGCAGGGGGCTGGACTAGATGACCTCCTGGGGTCCCTTCCAACCCTCATTTTCTATGATTCAGCCATTACTTTGGAGGCTTTTTCTGGCATAACAATATTTTTTCATTGTGAAAATCAAATTCCATTTGTAATCGTCTGTGATGGAAGTAACTCTGAAAGGGCTAATTCATGAAATAACAATGGAAGAGCAGTCCATCTTTTTTATGGGACAATCGCAGATACCTAGCCATCAGGCTACAGTGCTTTCATTCACTTTCACTGGGGTGTTAACACCTTATAGTTTCATAGTTTCATAGATTTAGGGTCGGAAG